ATTAATGAGTTAGAGGGTGATAGTGTTGTTGTATGATCACATACTATATTTTATTTCCATATTGTCATAGTTAAAAAAATATGATTTACTCTGTCAGCTGCATTTTCACTGCAATTTCCTTACACTTCTTTAGTTTTCTGACTATCAATTACTTCTAATGAGTATTAGTATTAGTGCAAACCTAGTTATTCTTGGGGTTTTTTGAAATACAAAATGCATATCTAGTGGAGTTTACGACCTAAGGTAACAAGACATGAAAAATATTGCATTTATATTCTCTTTAACACACACTGAGGTATATTCATTAAGAAATTTTGTGTTAATGACTTTTCATTTAGTTTTTGACTAATAACCTGTAGATTCTGCCATTTCCTTTGGTTTTCCCTATCCCATAAATCATTCTCATCACAGATGAGGTTAATTGTTTTCTACTTGACATCTCTAATAAATAGGCACTCCATAGCTACAAGCAGATTGAATGTAAATGCACAGGTAAAGCTCTGCTGAATAATTCCTTTTACTTGGATTAAAATATGAGACCTTTATAAAGTTCAGAACATATATTGAGCTATATAATCTTTTTCATTGCAGTTTTATCACATTTTACAGTTAAACTAACAGATATTTAGGTAACAAATGATTATATACAAAGGAAAAATATTTTTTTTAGGATTAAATGGTATTTTTATTACCTTAGTTAGATAATCTAAACAGGTTTAAAGGGAGTTTTCAGCTATATTACTGATACAAAGCTCCATAACTTGAGTCGTATTTCTTCTTGATTGCTCCAAGCAAAAAAGATGCAAGTTCTTCTCAACACAAAACAGATCCAAAGAGAAGACCTGTCAAGTGGAATGGTAGAATGAGATGGGGAAATTCAAGAAGAGAAGTCATTAAGAATGTTCTTGTCACTGGAGACCATTCCTTTGTTTCTGCTATATTTGAGCAGCCTATCCTGACCACTGCAACTGTTTAACTTTAAATTGCTAAATATTTGAACAAGTTAATGCTCATCTGAGCTGTAGTTAGCAGTTAATTGGCAGTGCTAATGTGAGTTTACCTTCTGCATCAGCCATGTTGATATGAATGGGTCATGTCTGGAGCACTGCAAGGATCCAGTCCCTTTGGAGTTGATGGAGTGTGGCTGACACTCTGCTGAAGTTTATTTGGAGACCAGGTGTGATGCACTGCAATCATAGACTGCAAAACCTTCCTCACTGGTCATAATTTTTATATATTGCTTTCCAATAAAAATCTGTGTTCTGCAGCACTTCTGTGCAGTTGGCTGCCATAAAGAAGTGCTTCCAGTCCCTGACAACAGAAGAGCTACAAGTTCAGGTATCTTGGAAAATCAAACCTTCATTTCTGCTGACGGTTGTGCAGGATGTGTTGGATTCAGATCAGTAGCTGGTAGTTGGAATAATGCAGGCTGTGTACCAGGAGATAGATTGACTCAGGACTGCAATGGTCCTTAATTCCTCCCCACAGGAAGAAAACATGATTCTGTGTTTGAATTATTTCCTGCGACATTGACTGCTGGTCTCCAGACCGATAATGTTAAAAGAACTTTTCTATCTGTCCATGAACATAATATTGACTTCATTAAGAGATGACTTTCTAATAAAATATTTTACATAAAATATTATTAGGGAAATCTTTGACAGTTTAGCAAGGAAATGTGGGTATAAATGCTTTTTTTGTGGTGCAGACAGTCATGACTGACAGAAGTACACAGATGCCTTGACACAGTGTTCTTGTCACTGTTCCCCAGTGGCTTTGGGGATGCTTTATGGCCTCTGGGTACCAGGAACGGAGCTTACATCACTAAATGTTAGAGATGAGGTACTTTTGATTACTTCCCAGTGGATCAGATTGCTAAAACAAATCTCTCTGGATCTGTACATAGGATCATAAATCTCATTCTGTCTCTGGGTTATTAAGAGAGGCACTCTGTGGCCCACAAGCTGGACTAACTGAAATGGCTGCTGTAATTTCTGTAATGATTTAAAGTAGAACAAAACCTTTCAAAATAGCATAGTAATTTTGCCAAAACATCATTATTTAAATCCTTTTTCTGTGATACCCTTGACCACGTAATTATTTTTATACAGCACTGCAGTTAGGTTAAGTCATTGGTTTTGTGTATTGGGTAAAAATTGAGTCTGGTGCTTTTTTATTTCTGTTATGCAACTACTAGCCAGCTGCATGTTTAAATTAACCTTTTAACAAAAAATCATAGCAAATTTAAGGATTTCTAGATCTCTTATTTTAGAGAGATGACATCTGTACTACTCCCTTAATTCTCAAATATTAGCACATACTTCCCTGTATTATGAAGTAGTTATAGCTGTCCCTGTGACATTTTTAAATTTGAAAGTTAGGCATAATACAATAATATTTTGAATGTCTATGACATCTGGGACTATGCATAGCAATTTGTGATATGTATAATTGAGCATAAAGCCATAATGTTATTTAAGGATGATGTTATGTGTTTTTTTTATTTTTCCTTGGTTGGAAAGTTATCTTTTTTAGAGTCCATCCCTAAAAGCTATATTCTCAGAGGTTTCAGGATGTTGCTCTGCATAGCAAAAAACTTATTCTGCTGCTGCTTCATGAAAAACTCTCCTGGATCCTGTGTTGCTCTGAAGAGAAGTAAAGCACTCTTAATCATAGAATGATAGAATGATTTGGGTTGCAAAGGACTTTAAAGATCTCCTAGTAGACAGTGTCCCTGCCTGGGTAGGGAGGTTGGAACTAGAAAATCAAATGGGATTCTGAGCACTGTGCATGGGTATGGAAGGAACAGGATCTTGTGCTCTGCTTTGCAGTGATCCAAAGGTGCCAAATATCAACTGGGAATTAGCACAAAACCATAATGTTCTGTCACAGAACACAAAGATTGTCTCCAAACCAGTCACCAAATCCAGTACAGGTATCTGGGCTAAATGTGACTTTTGCTGCAGTGTCCCCATGTTTAGGTCTTGCTCCTGAACAGTTACCTCATGGAATCTATTCATGGCCCCAAAGCTCAACAAAAGCTGGCCAGAAAGATCACTGGGTGTGTAAATTATTATTTTGATTTGTGAATATTCAGAAACTTCTGTTCCAGATTATTGTATGGTTTGGTTTAGTGGTTTTTTTTTGTTTTTTTTTAAACTTTACCGTGGTGGGCATGTAAAATAGACTTTGGGAAAGAATAGATATTTTTGAAATTTAAATGAGCATCAATAGGGTGAGAAGGGGACCAAATTGAATAATAATGCTTACTCATGTGTGTTCAGGTTTGCTCAACCATAATTAAAAGATTCTAATTGGTTTGCATTAGTTTTGGATATAAAGCAGAAACTGCACATCTTTTCCACACTATTGGCATCACTATGTAGTGATGCCAATAATATATGTATTTAATTCAGCTTTCAGCTGGATATAATCCAAGGCTGTGCTGGGGAACAATTAGAGGAAGGACTTGTATGAATAAACTTGATTGCTGTTAAGGTTTACATTATTACTTTCTGTAAGGGTTGCAATTACTTCATCTCCTTCATTCAAGCTATCTTTGTAAAGGTCAGGAAAAAAGTGGGTTTTGGGGTTGGGGGAAGGTTGTCCCTTGGGCTTTTTTGGAAAGGAATTTCATCTCAATGACAAATGGTTCTTTGCTTATAGGAAGGAAAAAAAATAAGTGGTTCAATTAGGGGTGAACAAATTCTAACAGGAAGAAGGTCAGAACTTTTCTAGTTTTGATCTGTCTATTATCTGAGTAGAGCTTCAATGATTGCTTCAGTGTTAATGCTGAATTCCATGATTAAGGCTCTTTAGACACCAGGGGGATATTTTTGCTGTACTGGCCTTCATTCAGCTTTAGTATTGCATTCTTTCTGAGCCTGTAGGTTTTTGGATTTTTTAGGCAACTTTCTTATGTTTTTATGTCCATTAACACTTTTCCAGAGTCCCGTGCGTTTGATCCCATTTGGCTTGTGCTATTTCTTTTGTGAGGCAAAATATCTTCACAATCCAGTGTATTTGTCAAGATAATATGGGAAATGCCAGTCAGATCTGGACATTCCCCTTTACTTTCCACACTGAACTATGCTGCCCACGATCTTCCACATAAAAAGTAACACCAATTTTGTACCTGTAGCTCTTTGTACAGACTTGACTTAGGTTAGATCAAGTACCAGACTGGGATTTCTCTCAACCTTTATTTTTGTCTCATTTTGGGTTTTGGTTTTTTTTTTTTTTGAGGGGAGGTGTGAATTCCTGATAATGTAGAAGAGCCTATGCTATTATCCTCTCTTGACAATATAAAGAGGAAATTGAAAGTAAGGGAATTTCTCACACTCAAAGTATTAACATATCCAGTCACAGTGGCAAGGGCAAAGGAATAGTCACAGTAAACATATTTAAATGAAGATCAGTTTTGAATGTTTTACCCAAGTGTGAAGTTGGGTTTAAATTGGTCAATTGATTGAGTCACTGTGTGAAGTTGTGTAGTCCTTGGGAAGGTATTTTTTAGGCCAGGGTTTTCAAGCAATTTATGGTTTTCCCCATCATACATAAAACTGCTGATGTGATTTACCTACTGTAGCTGTCAAAGTGTCTAATACAGGCAAATTGCTTAGGCTTCCTTTCAGTCAGTGAAAAACTGTGAGGAATGATCAATTCTTTTTTATGGAAGGTGAAGTTTATTGTCTTTGGACATGGCCATTTGCCTTTGTGGATTGTGGAGAGGAACTGGGGGACCCTCTTTGAGTAGACCTTGAGGTCTTAAGATAGAGTGGGTGCTGTGCCATGGGCTATGGGGCTGTGCCAAATTTGTCTGTAATAGTGAATGTTGTTTTGAATGTTTATCCTTTGCTTTACTCTTAGCACGACTCCAATGTTTTGACAAGTTCCATGATAATAAAATGCTGTATCAGTACGTGCTTTTGGAAGCAAATGTTAAATATTTTCAGATCATTTGCTCATGGGGCTTCATGCTCTTTCAATTCAATTCACAGTTCAGGAGAAACCTGCTAAAGATTAACAAGCAGAGAAGCTATCCTTATATTCCAGTGATCCTCAAAAGCTGAAAGAAACACTTTTCATAGTAAGTATACAGTTATTATTGGACTTGAGATTGTGAAATACCGTTTTGCTAAACAAAATTCTAGTGTGTAATATATTTTGCAGAATGGAAATTTGCATAAAGATAGAATGGAAGAATTCTATTTTCAAGTGGGGCTAAAATATGATATTTTTTTTGCTTGCTGTGAGTGCCTGTAAAATACCATACACTAAAAGTGTCAAGTCTGCTGAAAGATAGCTCTAAAGCAGTTTTACTTTTAATCTTCTAAATAGGCATGAACTCAGAAAAAGGTATTCATAATTTGTAGTGTAAACCAAAATGCTTTATTAAATAGCTTCTATTTATTATTATTTGACTATAAAAACATGAGCTACTTACCAAAATAACTTGCAAACTTAGTGTTATGTAGACCTTTGCAATGTCCCATAACTCTCTAGGTTAAAAGTGCACAAAGATAAAATATGAAATTAAAAATATGCATTATGTATAACTTCCATGACTTGTCTAGCTTTCAGAAATTTGAAAGCTCCCCAAGAATTTGCATGAGTTTGTAGCCTCCTAAGCTGTAGAAATCACCACTCACAAATGGAAAAAAAACTTTACTATGGTGTAGATGTCCCCATGCTTCTGGATTCCACCAAAAATTACCAGACAAGATTGCCAGTGTGTTTGCTGTACTTGGTGTTTGACAGTTTATGCTGAGAGCCTGATTTATGATGTAAAGCATTAGCCCACAATCCCACAAAATTGGGAGGATCATGTTTGATAGGGGTGTAACACTAAATACTGTGAGAAGATGCCTTTAGCACTCTTGCTTTGTGCTTGATCCCTTTCACCCTCATTAGCTAAAGAACCAAAGCTGGCTCTGTGTGAGCGCATCCTCCAAGCTCCACTCTCATGGGCAGTGCAGAGAGCACCCACTGACCAAGAAAATACTTCTTTGTCTTTTTGGGACATCATAGGAAGCCAAAGTCTCCCCCACAGCTGAAATTTCTTACTTTTCTCTCCTTTGCATCCTCCAGAAAATGGAATATCAATTCCAATTTCTCATGTATAAATATCAAGTCATATTCAGTGAGGATAAAGACCTTCCTGACATCATTTCAGTGTGGCTAGAGGCACCACATCATCATTTGTATTTAACCTAATTTAGTACTTCAGACAGACTTGAGAGCTTATCTAAGAGAATTAATCAGCTGGTGAGGCTTAGAGAGGCAGCTGAGTCATTTTGATGTGTTCCTACAGCAGCAAGACTGTTGCAACTTCATTTTCCGTGCAAAGGACACAGTTCTGAGGCTGCTTTACATCTGTGTATGGCTGTGGGAGTACTGTTATGGATTTGTTAAGGATGCAGAGATCTAGCTTAGGAACCTGCTCTGAGTTCTCACAAAGCTTAACCTTTCTTGTCAGTCATCTGCAGACAGATGTGGGGATTAACACTTTATCTAATTAGGCTCCTTGATTAGTGGCTAAGCTTTGCAGTTGTTCCTCTCTGCTCGTGTTCTTGCAAGTTTGTTAATGGCATTCAGGTCATCCACAGGAATCCAGCCAGCACATCACATCTGCGCACTGCAAACAGATCCATTTGCAAAAAGCTGCCCTCAGTTAGGTCAGTGTCCTGCAGCTCTTTGTGGACTATTCTGCTGCTCACAACATGAATTTTTCAAGCCTCTCACTCATTCAGTGTCTGTCTCTCCAGCTCGTTAGTGTGAGAGCAATTCAAAGCTGGAGGCCAACTTTCAATGTTCCAAATTATCCTGAGGGGAGCCTTGGGAGTTAGATTTCCCTAGGCTGAAGCTGACCTTCATGAACCTACTGTCAGTGCATAAAATTTGGTAAAACACAGTATCTACTTAAACTGCACTTACTTCTACAGGAGTAGCTGACTTATTTAATGCTCATACATGAAGCTGTACTTAGGAGGAGTTTATTTCAGCTTAAGAGACTCAGTCATTCCAAGAATTCAGATGGTCTTCATTTCAAGTAGCAGATATCTTATTACCTTCTAATAATCTATTACTTCCTAGTAATTTTTTTTGCCACATTTTTCATGGCAGAAAAATCTATCTCATTTTTCTGTACTTTTTTCAGTAGGAACTTTTCAAAAAAAGCCCATTTTCTTTTATCCCTGAGCAGGAAAAGGAATTTTTAAAGCAATTTTCATATATCATTGAAGAGTTGAGGTAGAGTTACTTGGGGGACACACATTTTTACAGACTGTTCACTTGTGATAATTCTGGGCCTGAAGAAGTAAAGCCACTTTGTAATTCAGTTACATGAAGAGGACATCCTCAACTGCTGAATATTGACCCTTTCTCTCAGATTTGCTGTGCAATATTCCTTAAAATCTCTCCTGAACCAGGTTCTCACAAAGTGATTCAGGTTACTTATTTGGCTGTCATTCTAACCCCAAAACTGAACCATTTTCTGAACCATAGTGGGGGGCAATTACCTGCATGTGGTGGTAGAGTCTGTGGGCAGTGACCCCTGCTGATGGCAGCACTATACCAAGATGAGGATAGAAACCTTCCTACCTGTGGTCTTTTGAAGGTAGAACAGCCCAGAGCTTCAATTTGCAAACACTTACATTTAAATGTCTGTATAATAGATATTTCTAAATGTATTTATTTATTATCCTTATATGTTCGGGAGCAATATTGGTTCTACCATATCCTCCTGTTTTATTAGTGCTGGTATGTGTAACTATGGTTAGAAACACTGAATTATTCCCTTTTGAATTTAATTTTCCAAGTTTTGTTTTTTTTATAAGGAGGCATTATAAAAGTGTGTTTTGACAATTGTTGTGGAGGGAAAGAGTTGAATTTATGAATACTGGAAACTATTCTGCAGTCAAAGAAAAGCATTATTCCTGAGCTGAGACTGTGGAATGAAGAGCAGGTATCTAGGCAGGCTTCAGAGGATCAATATAGATGCACTGACTTCAGCTGGCTGCTGTCATCTGTTACTTTGATGCCTTTTTCTCTTGTGCTGAGTGGACCCTGGCTAATTACACATGATTTCCCCAACACCAAGGAGGATGCAGAGACAAAAAAATCCAGAACTAAAATCTGTGCTGCCCAGATTAAAAAGGTGGACTAAGAGAATCTCTTTTAACTGTAAAATGAGTTCCAGTGTTCATATCCTTGCACTGGGGTTTTTTAGTTTCACACAAGCTTTGGGGTAACCTCTTTTCAAACTCAGGATAGGAAAATTAAGTGTCCCCAAAAGTTTTCCCTTAATATGTAGGGACTAAGGAAAAAAAAAATCCAGGGTAATGTACTGCATATTAGCTTATATTTTAACATCTTCAAACACTTGAAGGAGTAAAATCAGACTTAGATAAAACAAACCCCTGCTATTTAAAAGGAGCGAAGCCTAGCTGAAATAAATATCTTTAAATGATTGCATTCTCCTACCTGTTCTAGTTTAAAATTATGACTAGTTCTCTGTTCTCCACTTCTTTTTATTTACTCTTATATGGATTTATTTAGTCTCTTCTACTGCTAGAAATAATCTATTTTAGCCATTTGCTTTTGGTAGGGGGAATTGAAGATGATGAATGGAACAGGTAAGAAATAAGTATTGATTTAGCATTGAGTTTGCAGGCTGCTTGGCATTCTCTGGAAACATATTACATTATTCTGAGTTAATAATCAATTAGTAATAAGATTTCCATAATCCAGTAATAGCTGCAATAAAGGACAATTTACAGAGCTGGATATTGTTGGCTATAATAGAACATGTAGCATTGCTTTTGCCCACCATTGAATATTCCCTGGAATTTATCTTGTTGATAGAGTAATGAAAATGGTATTGACTATGTTTAGTAAATATTACTGCATAAAAATCAGCAACCATCTTGCCTTAAAATAAACTAGAAATAAATGGAATGCAATTATTTTTCTTCTTTCCTCTTATTATTAGAAGCTTCAGTAAGTCTAATTGTGGGTAGGCTCAAAAACAGACTTTGGGGAGCTGTTCTGAGAATGGGACAACTTATGCTTGCAGGAGCAAAGTGGAAAATTCTGCACTCTGATGAGGTGGACTTTTATGATGCCAAAACATGGAAGGCAAAGGAAAATAAAGTTCTGCTCATTTTCAAGACTTTGCTAGTAAATTCCTGTCTCAGTCAAGATGATTTAGATATTCATCTCTCAGGCAAACACCTGAACCCACAGGCTTTCTTTTCCTATTCCTTTTGAAATGATCAGAATAGAGAAGAGGATTCAATATCTGTTGAATATAAAAGTAGATATTTTGAAGCAGTTGCCACAAAATCCAGCAGTTACCATCTAGGTGCAACTAGATTGTAATTATTTTCTTTCTTCTGTAAGATTGATTTATTTTTATTTGCAAATAACCAGTCTATTTTTCTTCAAGTTAAATATAATTTTTTCACTCATTAACCATTTATACACTGTGTGTAATTGTCAGAAATAAGAGACAGCTGGACAATCTAAGATTTGTAATGAAGTTGTTATGATTCTGTCATGTGAAAAGGGGAGATTTCCTTGACCCTCAGGGTTTGATTTGTCTGCCAGTGCCCCAGAATGGTCAAGACCTTTGTGCCTGACCAGCCTGTCCATGTCCCACCAGAGGGACCCCTCAGTGACCACTTCTGCTGGATCACAGGGTGGTTCAGATGACATTTTCAGGGACACACCAACAGCACAAGGGAGACCCCTCAGTGAGCCTTTATTCAGTATGTTCCCTGCTGCGGGCACCTGCCAGCTCTTGTGAAGGACTCACTCTCACATTTATGGAAGAACAGCTTTTATTAATGTCAAATTGTGCCAGGTTAAGGCTTGAGGATTGCTGGTGATGGTATCTGACTGCAAAAATATATTCAGAGCAATGCACAGAGAGGCTCTAATCCCCAATAAACGTGTGCACAGGGGGCAGGTTCAGCCTGGTGATTGATCCCAGTATTTACAATGGTGTCTTCCCTGACTTTTCTCCCATTCTTGACTTTACTTTCTTCTTGACTTTACTATTTGTTTATGTTTAGGAGGTGTTTATGA